TTTCATAGCAAACATGTATGTGAACCATCTATAGCCAGATTTTATTATGTTTGAAAGGATATTGCAGCTATGGGATATTGCCAGACTGTTAGTAAAAAGCAAATTGAGTCTATTGAGAGATTAATTCTCCAGCTGAAAGAAATACATTTGCCTTAGAGTCATCAGATATTCTACCCACCGAACTTATCCTCCGAGATAGCATACCTAATGAGCTTCCTAAACCAATTAAACATAAGCAGGAAGCATCAGTCATCAGAACTATTTTTGGCTAATCAGCTGACTGCACAAATGCATGGCATTGAGGAAAGGGGAACACCCTAAAAGTTGTAGGTTTTTTCACTGTCCTGACTTTACTTCTCAGTTTTATGGGTGCAGCGTCTTGCACAGGACACTGCAAATGAGTGGAGTGCCTTATGCTATTTAAAGTGCTTTCCCTTGCATTCAGTAAAATAAAATAAGTTTTAATGGGCGTAAGTGATTTGCTTAAAGGCACACAATTAATGTATGTCTGGGGCTCAAAATTGTGCCCTTTCCTCTGTTGTAATTGTTCTATGAATATGTATGTATTGATCGACTTTCTCCCTTTCATGACTAGAGAATAGGTTCAAGGGTTCGGAATGCTGCCATCTTGACAGTTGGGCAGACTCAGATAGAGCCAAGACAGGATGAGGATGAAGGGAAACATTTTTACCCCCACATGGGTTCCCTTTTTCAAAGACAGAATCAGGGTACTGGTATCAGTTCCTACTGGTTATAATGATAATAATGATCCAAATAACTAACCATTACTGAGCACTCATAATATGCTAGTGCTTTATGAAGCCCAAATAATAGTCTCAAAGCCTTCCAAATAGACCTTCTTCTCTTAAAGTTACAGAGAATGTAGACCCAGAGAAGGAATATTAAATTTTTTAACATTGTAAATTTTGAAAAATGCTTATAATATGTTCTATATTTTATGAGTCTATGGAATAACTATCCACGTATGTGACAAAATGAAGAGATGATACAGTGGAAATTATTTTGTTTTACTTAAAGACATGTGGGTAAGGCTCCTCTTTGTAAAGAGCTGATTCCCTGGGAAAGAACAGGGGATGATTTCATTGCCTAGTGACCCAAATCATAAAGTTAAAGTTCCCTGCCTACTCTAGAAAAAAAATGAATATTTTATATACATAAGTTTTTGACACTAGATTCCTATTCCTAGATATTCATTTAAAAACGTAATTGGAATACCCTTTTTAAAATCTAGTTTATCGATGGCAAACAGATATTTTGGGGAAGTATTTCTTGGCATTATCCTTCAATGTTAATTTTTTGTTTAAAAACTTTTAGATGCTTCCAGGAGCCCAGGAATGAGATTAACTTCTTCTTAAAATTAAAAAGAAAAATAAGTTAGCAAGATCACAAAACTAAACCTTTAGTCTGTTTTTCTTTTCCTGATTTTCACATTATTTCCTTTATATTTATTTTACCTATTGCATATTCATGAAGGCCGACTTTGAAATAAGAAATATATACTGAGTACTTTTTAAGAACTAAGACTACGTCTTCTCCTGTGATGTGAATTATATCCTTCAAAATATATATGTGTTTGCATAATATGTATTCAATTAATGTCATTGAATAAATAAGTGAATTCATCTATCAGTCAATAAGTATGAATCCAAAAGCTATTCTAGAATATCATGGCCTTTGAAAATTAGAGTAAAAGTGAAAGCACTTTACTAAATTAGATATAAAGGACATGGAAGACAGAGTAAATTTAATAAATTATTTTCAAATTTCAAATGAAGTCAAGCTTATTTAGGATCTATAATGTGGAAATCCCTCTAGTCATGATTGGGAGTATAAAAATGATGAAATCATGGTCTCGTCTTTGAGAGACTTACCATTAATCAGGAAGGCATGGCATATGCTCAGAAAACTTAATTAAGTGCCTATGAATGGGACACATAGATGTAAAAGATCCGAGAAATACGTATGGAGTGGGACAAGAGTTATTTGAGTTTGAACTTGAGGTTTAAGTATAATATGATGAGTTGAAATAGAGGAAAGGGGGGATTCTATGTGGAAGAAAAACAAGAGTTGGAAATGAGAAGAGTATAAAACAAGCACAAACAAAATTATAGACCTATAAATTCACACAATTTCTGTGTGAAAAGCGAACTGACTGCAGAATTTGGGTGTTGGGGGACTGTGTTTAGACATAATTAACAAAAACAAAAACACAAATTTGACTGCAGCAAAAATTTGAACTTTATTTTCTAGACCTCATTTCCAAACGCATGTCAATGGGTGTTGAGTGAGGGGAAGGGGTAATTTGCTTATGTAAATTTGGAAAATGCGAGGTGACGCTCAACTATTCAACAAGATTGCTTACTGTGAGGTTTCTCAGGAGCCTTCAGTTTGCAGATATCAAGAAGGGGGACCATAGTAGGAATTTCACAAACATTTTGCCATAGGATTTCTTTCTGCGATTTGTCTGTCTGTAGTGATATTTCTCCTCTGGACCCGTGTTGGGAACGAGCAGTTTTTGACAGTTAAGAGTCACAAGGAGCATTAAGGCAGAGAAAGGACATGGTGAAAGTACTGATCTGGGGGAAATAATATGGTGGTAGTATGTGGAGAGACTGACATCCTCTGCAATAAGGGGTTGAGAAGAGAATTTGTAATGATACATGAATAGTGGAGATGAAAGTTTATTTTAAGATCCAAAGCGGTAGAGTACATTTTTAGATCCAATCAACACTGCTTAGAGATGAAGTATTGTAGGAGGAGCTGGAGATAAAGACTTGGGTGTAATTTGTATATGTTTACTAATTACACCCAAGACTAAACAGACTAAAGGTTAGTTTTAGATTGAGAGCACAATCTGTTAAGATGGATTCCCAGAAAGAGACTACGAAGGAAGAACAGAGGTTTCCGTTATTCACGGAAACGTTTATCTTTACTTTCTTGGAAATGTGAGGAGAAAGATGACCAGAGTAAGAAGAAATCAGAATAGTTCAGTCCAAAAAAGTGGGATTTGAATAAGAATCTTGCTGTGAAAAGCTGGTTTTTGTTGATTTGCAAGATAGATTTTATTATAATTGTGAGAATGAAAATGAACATTTGTGGGTGTGTGATGATGGAGAAGTAAGAAAATGAGCGTGGTAAGGCAGAACTTCCATGCAGAGGACACAGAGATACTGAGCCTATTAGAGGGACATTGGATTATTGGGAACCTGGACGTATGGGTCGGTTGGAATTTTGAATATTTTTTGATGAGTTGATACAGGAAACGGTGATTATGTCACATGTTCAGGGACTTGGAAAACAATGAGAGGGATTGTAAAGAGGCAGAGAAACTGAAAAGTGAAGAAAAGGTAAAATCCGATAGCTTGTTTCCCAGGGGTATGATCTTCTCAGTGAGGTGGTGTCTTGTGGAATATTAAACTCTTGTTTGGAGAAATATGCTAGAGAATCAGGGGAGACTTCTTTTTAAATTTAACACCTAGTAACACATTTAGGAAATGATAATAAATAGAAATAAGTTCTGATGAGAATTTTTTAATTATTATCAAATTGTTTTACCATTTCATTTTTGTTAGGGAAAATTAATCTTAAAGAATTGTAGTATTTCGGGGTACCTGGGTGGCTCCGTTGGTTCTGGGATCGAGCCCCGCATCGGGCTCCCTGCTCAGCGAGCAGTCTGCTTCTCCCTCTCTCTCCCTCTGCCCCTCTCCCCCTCTTGTGCTCGCTCTTTCTCAAATAAATAAATAAAATCTTTAAAATTTTTTTAAATTAAAAAAGAGTTGTATTATTTCACAATTTATGACCTAATTGTATTTTTAATTTTGAAAGCTTATAAATTGTCAAAGTCCAGTTGCTTTAATGTAAGTGTTTTTTAAATGCTAAACATGTTCATCTTAGTTGTACTGAGGATATTTCACCCTATGTTTTTCAATTTGAAGTATTATCCTTGGGCTGTGTGTTTCATTATTGTCTGCTAATCCACACTATTATCTAGACAATCTCTTAGAAGTAACAACCCTAATACTTTCATAAAGCACCCTGAAAATGTACAGGCCCATTAAGTGTTCAGCAGGGGTACATTTCATTCATAATATAGCAGTACCCTCTAGTGCTCATGTTTGGTCATGTGTTCTCCAAAACTGCCTTACAAGGGTATATGTCACCTACTGAATCATTTTACTCAGGTTTAGCTTTAAGTGAAATATTCTATTATTCATAAAATCACCTTCTGGAAAAGGAGCTCAGGTATTTCCAATATTATTCAAAAATATTACCAATACTTTTGTGCTGTAGGGGAAAATGGCTCTTCCATCTATTTTGCTCATGTAAGTAAATGAAATGCTTGAGAACAAAGAACCAAGAAGTTGGTTAAATTTCTTAAGTGATTTGTAGAAATGGAAGTAGGATCTAAACCTTTTGTTCCAAGGTTCAGTTCTGTGCCATATGCATTGGACGATGCATCTGATCCAAGAAAGTTTAAAGCTATAAATGTATATGTCCAAAATTCTTCATTCTTTTAGCGGAAATGTTTCTTGAAGAATCTTACTCTGTTTTCAGAAGTTTTGGATTGTTGGCTTACAGCACAGCACAGTAGTACGGCCAACATACTGCAAAGGGAGTTGTGTTGTATTGAAATTTGATTTACCGTGCTTAAACATGTTAATTCAGAACGAAAGGAATCTCCAGCCAAACTATCCATGAGCAAGAAGGCCTGGCTTATTTGCTTTCCAAAGCCTCAACCCAAGCTTGATCACTGAGTTTATACGCAGACTGTAGATCTGTGTAGCTGTAAGACTTTGACCATTACTTACTCTTATTTTGGTAGTTTTAATTTTTATTACAGACTTGATTTGGTCAGGTATTCTCACCAAGATAGTAGAGCCACATAAGAAAATAATTCTAATTTCTACAGATGTTTCTGAATAGCTTCCTCAGGTGATTTGAGTTTGCTATTAATAAATGTTTTTGGTATCCATATTTAGTTGTTACAGGGTAGGTCACCCAAACCCAACAAGTGGGAGCTCCAGATGGGCAGTGGCGGTGGAATGGTTGAACAGGTCAGCGGGGACTGTGATGATGAAGATGGTTGTGGTGGATCAGGAAGTGGAGAAGTCAAGAGGACACTAAAAATCACAGACTGTAAGTGTATGATTCCAACACCACTTCTAAAGAATGAATTTTGAAGTATAATTGAGGATAATTATTACTATGAATGCAAAGGAATAAGGGCAGTGAGTTCAGAAGCATGCAAAAGGAATTGGAAAGGACAATGGACCCATTTTCAGTTATTCAGGACATGTATTCTTGGGGGTGTTGTTTATTTTTAACTAATGGCTTTCAATGGAAATGACTTTTTTTTTTTTTTTTCTGTGAAAGATTTGTGAATGACCAGTTCTGAGAATTAAAGGTTCTAAAGTCGGATAATCCTCAGGGCTTGAAATAACTAGCAGGGTGGCTATTAGATGTATATTGGTAAATAATGTGAAATCAGGATGGGTAAACTCTACTAAATAATCAAATTCAGCAACTTCATTATATTGCGCCATTCTGTAGGAGATATCTTACTAGGTTTTCATCATAGTTGAATTACAAAAAAAATTGGTTAAATATGGGGTTATTTATAATGAAAAACTACTTGGATTTAACTCTTATGAATTCATTCTTCCCAAAAACTCTCACCAATTATTCGCCTCATTTTGATTGTATGGGTTTGAAAACCATTTCCAGTATTGCTGGACTGGTCACCACCACACAAGATGGAACTTCCAAATGATAACAACAACAAATCACCAGATGAATTTCGTTTTCTTTTCTTCACTTTACAAAATGAGGAATATTGTCTCTTCCTTGTTACGCACATGCAGATGTTCACATGGGCAAGACAAACAAAGCTATCAACTGAGAAAGCAGTGTGCAAGTTGTACCCAGGGCAGCTAACTTTCAGCTCTTCATTTTTCTGAGGTCATACCCAAAGGTGATTACTTTATAAAGTAATTTTCTGGACGTGTGCAGCCCTATCTGGAGGCTGGTCGGATAGTCTCCCTCTAGATCACAAAGGGCTGCTTTGGAACTGTTAGATGTTTCCTTTCATGACTTTGGTGGGAGAAGAATTCATTTACTTTTCACTTCTTGTAGTGAATTTAGAACACTACACATGCTTCAAGCATCAATACCCCATTCTTTCTAGGATCTTGTTTTGTGTTTAAAGGAATGAAAGCCACAGAGGTGCAAAATCCAAAGGGCAATTAATATAAAGAAATATGTTTTCCTGTTAGACACAAAGAGAAAGTAAATAGATGGGGTTTAATACACTGGAGCAGCAATTGAACAAAAGGTCGCAAAAATTTCTTGATGTATTAATGCAATTTCCTAGTGAAAATTGAGTATCTTCTACTTGTGTAGGAGCAGGTAAGGATATGTGTTTTATTATTGGTATTAATATAGTTGATCAGATTGATTCTTCTGTTTTCTATATTTTGCTGTTTAGGCCAAAACAATAAAAAGGGAAGAAGTAGAAAATGCAAATAAAATGGTTTTCTAGAAAAAAAAAATTATTCTTACTAAGAGTTGAAATGTCCTCCATTGTATTTTGGAATTATGATACTTATCTATTAGGTTAGTATTAGTTAATCTTTCATTTTCATTTTATCTTGAGTATTTATATGTATCATAATTTCATTGCCATTTGAATATTAGGGTTTTAAGGAATAAACATTGATATAAAAATAGTTTAGGTTGAAATTTCATCTATAAATTATGTGTGTGTGTAAGTGTAGAATTAGCATTTTTATAGGGATTTTTTTCACTCTTGGATTTATTTGTAAGCTCAAGAACTCATTATGTATTAATAGATAACTCTTGTTTTATTTCACAAGAGAAGTAGAGACAGTAGAGGATATTTAACTACTAATAATTTTCTCACAAAACCATACTTGTCAAGGTGGCAAGAATGCATTTTTACTTCAAAATCCTGTTTTCAATTATTACTGATATGGACAGGTGTGGTACAGGAACTATCCATCAGAATTGGAGAGATTTAAGATTTAGATGGTTTTCAGCAACTCCAGGCAAACATTTAAAAAAACCTACACCTGCTGTAAGTGGGTTGCTTCTCATGTTTCTCAGAGTTTATAGCTGTTACCTTTCAATTTTTAATAAGTGGTTAGGAAACCACTGTGGATAGTAGGCTGAAATAAACAGGGACAGAGAAAGTAGCAAAGCATAGGTCACATTTCTGTTTTTATAAAGCACTATACTTTCTGTGTGTTTGGCTCGTTTGATATATTGCTAAAGCAAGCTAAGACATAGTTTTGGATGGTCTTAATGACTTAAAACTCATGTGCTCTAGCAAGATTACCTGGTGTTGTTTGTGTAAAGAACTTGAAATGCACTACTATTTCTTCTGTACACTGATGTTATTCTTTATTAAAAAAAACAAAAACGTAACTAGAATACAGTTCATTTGTCACCTCAAAAATGTCTCATTAAAAATAGTTACACATACGTGTATGTATGTATTTATAGCCATATATATACGATTACATGAAATAATACTGTGTTCTGCAAATTAGATTTTGCTCCATTTATGAAAATTTTCAAAGTTGATGAATATTTTGCTAATTATCACCTGACCTGATGTTCTGTCTGCTTTTGTTCATGTTTATTTCAGATAACAGAGGGATCGATACACTTTAAAGTGCAAAGTTTTACCATCAAAATATTTATATACTTTTTAGGTATGATTTTGTTTTCATCACCGATGGTATCAAATAATTTAACAAATGTTTAGCTTTTAAAACTACCTGATGGAGGGGCGCCTGGGTGGCTCAGTTGGTTAAGCGACTGCCTTCGGCTCAGGTCATGATCCTGGAGTCCCTGGATCGAGTCCCGCATCGGGC